TTAGCCAGATTCTTGATTGCATGATACTAGATGCTCTGTGTTAATTAATGGTGAGAAAGTGCCAGATCCTTTGATTGAAGGAAGTAGATTGGTATGTACTTGTCTCATAGAAGATCTGAAACAATTTTGTTAGATTCCCTGCATTCTTCTTCATGTTTGGATAATTTTCCTTTCATCATTCCAAATTACGTGAACGAATGTCCAGGAGGTACATCAATGGCAAATTATAGAACAGCAAATGTACTTTGTGTGCTTAACACAAGAAGAGTGATACCATGAGAAAGAAAAAGAAAACTGTTCACCAGAATTTGACCAATTCTTACCCACATGGGACTTAACATTTTAGATTCCTTAGAAGAGTTATCTGACCTGGAAAATTCTCCAGCTATGCTGAGTCATAAGAAAGAAGCCCTTTAAATCATAAGCAGCTGGATTTCAGTGCATGACCCCGGTGCTAACTGGCTTCACACTGGCAGCAGTTCAGGTCCTCAGAGTACAGGTGATGCCTGTTGGCTTGGAGCATGGCCTTTGCATGGCACTGGGGAAGGTGATCTGTGTTCAATTCAGTTGCGTTTAGCTGAGCCACTCTAAACACACAGTAAAAGACTTGTGTTCATCGTAGCAACAGCTTGGGCTGTCTGTCTGTCACTGTGGCTGCTGTAAAAGTCTGACTGGAGTGGGGTGAGTATTGTGAGGCTGCTGCAGAAGGAAGGTAGGAAACAGTCTAGGGAAATAGAGCTGTGTCAAATAACAAACTGTGAAGGAACTGATGCTTACTGAGGAGCCTGATAGTGTTTCTAGCAAGTTATCATCGCTTATCCCTAAATCATGATATCCTAGGGCTATTTGTTTTCAACTGCTTTGTGCTTTTTTCAAGAGAACTCATTAGTGTGTCAGATTATGTCTGAATACAGAACGAGAGACTTTTGAAACAGTAAGGCTGTGGTGGGGAAAAAATGAGCCTTCAGGCTCTTAGTCTGCATTGACACTTAGAAGCAGAAGCTAACTCTGTCAAGGCAGTTTTCTTCTTCATTTGGTCCTGTGAGTAGCTGAGCATTGACCTGGGCAGCATATCATGCTCTCCTTTATCTGATAAAGATCACTGTGTAACTAACTGCAGAGACCAAATCTTTCACAAGTGTCTTCTCTGCTCTTCTGCAGCACTTCTGGTGGGACAGCATATTCCTTGTGCTTATGACCAAGAGAGAATAAAAAAATATTTGTCTTTAAAATTCTTAGGGACAAACCCTATGACAAGTGTTGAAATCACAGCAACTCGATTATTGTTTTAAAGTTTGTGTGTTACTTTCGAATGGGGTGAATATAAGCATAGGAGAAAACAGCACTTCAGGCAGTCTCCAAGCAGTCTGGCTGCTAAACAGCCTCTGGCCATGTTCAGCAGGCTCCTATGGGAGGCACGTGCATTGCCAGGTGCCCCTGGGTGAAGAAATGTCTTTCCAGCTTGTCATCCAGCACCTGTGACTTCCAGCGATGCCCCAGGTAATGAGCCTGGTGTGAGCCCCCCTCATCTCTGCTCGGTACTGTATCTATCCATTGGCACCTGCAGAAACAAACCCAGTCTATTCACAGAATGAAATCCTAGAACAGCAGGCAAAGGCAAAGCAACCCCTTAGTGTGCTGCGTTGTCAGACCTGGTACCTTGCAAAGGTAGGTCTGTCTGTGTGGTGCAGGAATTGTGCCTTGGGAAACTAATGTCATCCACGTTGTGATGGCTTCACCATGTAAGTGTTGCTGCTCAGAGCAGCCCAGGGCCCTGGCACATTCCGTGGTGTCTGGAAGGAAAAATAACAGACAACTCTATCCCAGTTCTTCCCATGACAGTTCATGAGGTAGATTCAGTTTCATAGCAGAAATACTGCTGTCCCTTTAATAATAGGAAGAGCGTTTGCAGTGCATTTAATTGTTTCAATTTAAAGTGGCTTTGTGGGAGGTGAAGCGAGAGTTATACTGTTAAATATATGTTGATACAATAACAGCACTAACTTTTTGTTCTGCTTCCCCTTGAGCAAGGCTGGAAATCAGAGTGCCACACATCTGTCAAACTGTTCTGAGAATTAAAGAAACTTCTCATAGAGGACTGGGAATTTGACTAAAGGTTGTTTGTGGACTTCTGTCAAGTACAGAGATCATGTAAGATTAGAATCCTTCCTAGCTGAGAATATCTTGTATTGCCTTTCTGTTTAAGAAGGACCAAAAGGGAATTTCATAAATGATAATGAATAAGTGATCTGATGTCTGACCTCTAAAATAAGAATGAGTTTTGTTTTCTGTAAACACATCTGACATTGAAGAGCCAGCAGTTCATTGCCTTCAAGTCTCAAAATCCCCTTGGGCCATTTCAATTCCTACAGAAAGAGTTCTGACAGGCTGCCAGTTCATTATGGTGATTACTCTCCAAGAACAGTACGGCAAAGTATAACCATTTAAAATGCAGGAGCACATTTAGAAAACATCCAAAGACTGCAAGTAAGCTAAGGGAAACAGGGGGAAGCCCTGGTCAGATTGGGTTGCAAAGGGTGCAGGTGGAGATGAGATATGAAGAGAACATTAAGCAAGGAAAGCCTGACCACACTGGCACAGTGTGGATGCAGTTACTCCAGTAAGTTTTCTCCATATCTTACAATGCACAAAGTACAGTTTGGTACCAGAAATGAAAAATAATAATATAAGAAAAACCTAAAGGTAGCAACAAAAGCCCGAAAAACTGAGGAAAAAAGCTGATAAAAAGAGTACCGATAATATACCAGAAACTGAAACTTTGTTGAGGCCCCTCACAAACTACAAGGCACACACTCAACTGAGATGCAAGGTTTTGGTGGTTGGGCTTTCCCTCTCTCCCACAATCAAATTACCACCCAAACCAACACTTATCTGGTATATCAAATTGTTTAGAACTTCGTCAGGCTGATCTCTTTCTGCATTTCATGCTGTACTCATGAATACTCGTGTGTGTGCTGAGCTTCAAACATATCATCACGTCTTCTGAAGGGCTCTCTTAAGTTTGATGCCCAAAACTCCTACCTCAAAGTTTTCAGCTTTTGTTAGGATTGAGATTCCCTAGAAAGCAAGTACTTTGACCATATTTACAGGTCGGGCAGTACTTTGTCTCATTCTCTAATGATGTTCAGATGACTTAGGTGCTTTAGCACAGCAAATTAGTTATTTGTTTCTACCAGAAATTTTCTACTCACAGGCTAATCCCCAAATAATGTGATTGTACAGGTAGTGTTGGTGTTGCCTTTGTGTCAGTCTTGTGTGTCTGCACTGGATGAACATTTTTGAACTGCTGAATTCTCAGTAACAGAATTTTCCAGTTATCTATCATTCTGAGCCCTGCTTGTGGTTTTATTCTTGATAACATGCTGTTTAAATCCCTTTGGAGATTCCTGTGTTGTCCTTGTGGGTACACCGTACAAGGAGTTCTTACAAGCACACATGATTTTGATTTGAAATGCTGGCTGCTGACTTGTTACCAGAATGCCTATTTTTTAATAGGCTAAGCAGAACTGTAGCATCAGTGGAAGGAACCCTGTTTACTTTTAAATGGCACCAGGGAAGTGGTTTGTGCTGACAGTCACATCTTAGAGAGTTTTAAAAATAGTGTTGACTGTGAAGCAAAATCAAGCAGGTATTTCTTTAATACAGTTTTCGTTTTCTGTAGATGTTTATGTAAAATTGTTTTGTAGGTTGACAGTGTTTGTTGGTTTGGTTTTTTTTTTATAGCAGATTTTTTCAGCTACCTCCAATTTCACACAGCTGTGATTTGATAGCTGGTTGTCAGAGTCACATTAGTGGAAGGTGTGACTGCTGCACCTCTGCTTCAGCCCCTCAGCTGGCTTGTTTTAAAGCCATAGAGGGCTGTGTGGAACCCTTAACTCATGGCTGAAAGACTCCTGGGGAGAGATGTCCTTCCAGCATGCCAGTGGCTCAGGCTGAGTTGGGAGCATAGGCTTGGAGCTTTCAGAGCTGGAACTCCCTCTGCTTGGTTCAGGGAGATCTTCTACCCCCAAATTTCAGCTCTGTTTAGGCTTATTTCCTCTCAAATCAGTAAGTGCTAAGGCTTCTGAGGTGATCAGGGCAATTTTGTCATAGTCTTTTATTGAAAAACGCTAATTCATTTTACAAACTCAGATCAAATAATTTCAGGTGATGAATTTTAACAGGAAAAGTTTGGAGGTGATTTAAAATGTTTGATTTCATGTGGTTCAAGATGCTATATGTGATTAATATCAGTTCTCCCCCTTTCCAGGAATATTCAGTCATTTATTTCAAGCTAACCTGAATTTACAAAACCTGTTTTCACTATCTGGCCCTAAGCCTTCAAGCAGGGTCATGAAGCCTGTGCCTGTAGCTATGCTTTTTAATAGTCGTATTATCTGGTGGCTGGAGCAGTCCCCTGGTAGGACCAGGCTGGGGAATGTTTTCCTGCTCTCAGATGGAGAAACTTCTGTTTAGCAGGAGGCAGGTTCCCCACTCAGGCTTTGAGAAGAGGGTCCAGGTGCCCCACCTGCTGGGGTGGGAGTCTAAGCTAAGTGTGGAGCTGCTGGGGTTTTTCAGGCACATTCATGTGCAAGTTTTTTATATGCTGTTTTGGACAAGCATCAAGGCATGTTGGGACTGGTCACACTGAAACAGATTTGTCTGGCAGTTCAAATTAGTTTTGTTAACTTTGCAACATGAGGGTCTAAACTGCTTGATCTAGTTATTATAGGTAGGTTAAAAGTGAGAAATGGAGTTTTTTTTGCTGCTTTGTATTAAAAGTGTAATTCTTGAAATAGCTCATCTCTGTTGAATCAGGGGATCACCACAGCCCTGAGGAAAGTGGTAACACATTGGCAGCGTAACAGCCATAGTATGTAATAAATGTTTATGTACCATCGAGTGTACAAACATTTGATTGCTTACATGACAGAGCTTTTTTTTTTTTTACAGTCATTGGTCTCAATTTTTCCATTACATTTTCTCATTTTCTTTTCTAGCTTTACTCACAGACAAACCTCCAAAGCCATTGTTCCCCATGGAGAACCAGCCAACTGTTATAGATGTCCAGCTGGGTAAGTCCCCTTCTGGGAATAATAGATCCTGAAATTCCACTCTGGTAGCAGATGGGATAAATTGAAAGTGGTAAGAAAGGTTTAGTGGTACTGTTATTACATGCAAATCAATTTGCAGCCTCTCATTTATAACCATAGAATTTACTGCCATGGCAATTTAAGGGAATGAACTTGTGTAATATCAGGGGATGGCAGTACTAATTGGTTACAATGGGTATTAAATATAAAATGTTGATGCTTTTTTTAATATATGATTGATATAGTAATATATCTTTGCATTGGTGCTGTATTGATTAATTGATGTTCACCCTAAAACAAATATTCTCATAAAAGAGGTGCTGATTCCTTTGAAAGTCAATGTAAAGCAGTGCATTTTCAGGTTGTTCTGAATGTTTACTAGAAAGGGCTTTTGACTAAAATGCTTGTATCCTTTTCTCACTCCTGTTATATATTCTTCTGTGAATGCACATCTCTGGATCTCAGCTAGCAGCCTGTATTTTCCTTCACGTTAGAAACTAATGGTATGGAGTTCTGCTAACTTTGAGGAACTGTGGTGCATCTTGATGCTGAAAGAACTGCTCAGCTTTGAAGTTAGAGGTTTTTTTCAGTGATTTGAAAATAGATTTCTAATTTTGAGAGGCAGAATTGGAGTTACTGTTGAGGACTGTGGTGCCATGAGCTTAAATTACAAGAAATGTATTGCAGATGGGGATTATTCACTTGATGCTGAAGCTGTGGTGTTTTTTTTCTTAAGCTTGACTTTCTTCCTTCTTTTATAACAAAGCTGACTAGGAGTCAGAGGTAGAATGGTGTTTAAAGGCAGGCAGGGTCAGCATGAAACATTTCAGTGGGGCTGGTGACACTGTGGTAAAGCTGTTTGTGAAACTCTACCTGAGCTGAGTACAAAGGCACATCCTTAAAGCAGGTGCCTAACAATGTCAGTGAAGTTCTGTAGATGCTATGAAGCATTTAAAAATGGGGTTTGAATTCTTGAATGTGAGAATATAAATGAGAATATGAATCATTTGTGACTTTAGCTAATCTTAAAGATTAGCTTTCTCTCATATACCTGAACTGACTGCAGCCAGGAATCTGCAAGGGCTTGCACAGGGAAGGAACTGGGAAGCAGCCAGTGCCACATGAGTTGTGCAGACAGGTGCATATGTACCTGTTTAGGTTCCCCTCCACAGGGCTCAAATGTTTGTAGCTGTAGCTGAGCAGAAATGATCCCTAAAAGAGGATACAAAATGGTCTGAAACCACAGTCAAACCCCTACCTGAATTAGCAGCAAAACATCATCATCGAAGTTTGGATGAACCCAGAAGACTGAATTCAGTCTCCTGGTCCAGCTTCTTCAAAGTCAACTTTCTAATGATTTCCTGTGGGGGCACACTGCCCCTGCATACATCTGTGTAATAAAGGCACCGAAAGAGTACACATCTTTATGTCCTGTGTTTTCATTTCATCTTCATTTTCTCTTCCAAGTTCCCCTGTTCCCTCAGGACTCTGGTTTTTTTGCACTCAGTTGTTTGGGTTTTTTTCCTCTGTGAAAACATTTTGTTCTGGTTGATTAAAAGGAGGTTTGATTAAAAAAAATTAAAACAAACAAACCCCTTCCTCTCCATGGAGATGTGGCTCAGTAATAGGATTTTGGAATATCTCTAGAGGGAAATATAGATCTTGCATCTTTATATGCTGGAATGTAATCCATTCGTTGTCCCCTAAGATCAGGGAACTTACATATGGTGCTTTTTTTTTCCTGATATGTTAATGGGTTTGGTTATTGCCACCAAACCATATCCATATTATGTGTTATATTAATGCTTATGCAAGAGCCTGAACTGACTTATTTTGCAGTGAAGTTCCTTGATTTCCCCCTTGATTTTACTTGGCAAATAGATAAAGCTAGAAGATTCTCAGGGAACACCTTCATCTTGTGGAGGCCACCTGCAGCTTGGGGCTGGGAGGCTTGTTCTGGCCTCTGCAATGTGGTGCTGACCCTCATGATGTGCAGGAGAGAGGATCATCTGATTGCAGCACAGTAATGGAGGAGAAAGTTGCATGTAAGGTCACCTGCTGGAGTACTTCTTTGAAATCTTGTTAAGCTCCAAGGAGTTTTGAACAGTAGATATTCTTCAGTATTTTATTAGAAATCAAAGCAAAGTTTCTGTGTTTTACAGGCCCTTTAGCACATGGAGTCAAATCACCCAATATGCCTGATTTTTTTTTTTTTTCAGTGGTTCTGCAAGTATGAATGTGCCACTAAACTACAAAAGAAACTGAGTTTAATCCATCTTCTTGTTCTGCAGAGATTATTTTAGTTTTCTATTGGAAAACTAATCTTTAAAGAAATAGCTGTCTTTGCTGTATAAGTAGAGGAGATTAATAGTTATTTGCTGTCTTTATGCTTAATGATAAGCACAATGCAAAATCTCTCTAGAACTCTAGGCAGTGGCCTAAGTATTTAGCAGCTTATTTGACCTTACTGTAGACTTCAGTATTCACCTTTTAGCTTTCAGTTTTTATAAGAAGATTCAGTGGAAACAAGTATTTACAATTCTTATTGACAGCAGATAAAAGAACTCCTTCAGGCTTCAAACATGGTCCAGAGCCTGCCTTGTTCTTCTTAAGGAGCATGAATGTACTTTTTGCTTTTTCTGTTTTTCTTCGGCATGTGACAGAGATCAAAACCAACCCTGTCAAGGTTAGAGAGAAGCAGAAACTGGAATTTGCTTCTTTCCCATTTTCCATATTTGCTTGTGCTGGAGAAACAGAGCCAGAGACAGGAGTGTTGACAGGAGGACAAAAGAGCATTCCAGAGGACTAGAGATATAGTCAAAACCAGTTTCACTGTCTCAGTTGCTTTACCAAGTCAGATAATCATTTCATGTCTTGGCCAACCTAGGAAATAATGACTGATTTTTTTTTTATTTTTTTTTTTTTTTATTGTCCACTTACTGCTTCCTTTTCATAAAAACAGAACTAGGGGAAAAAAAATTCTTTTTATTTGTGTTTTAGCTCTTTGCTTTGGGGTTGGTATAGAAATGGTTCTTGATTGCATTTACATTTAATCTTTATCTTGGTTTTGACAAATAATGTTTATGTTTACTATATAGCGTATGTTTTGCAAATCTGTGACGTTACTCTGATAATATAATGTTCTTACTGAAAAAAATATCCTTGAGTTGACTTCGTGACATTAAAATGAAATATGATCATAGAAGCCAAAATACACATAACTCCTATGCCCAGGAGATGGTGTGGCTTTAGTAGAAGGCATTCAAGATTGTCTCCTACGTAAAGCTCTTAATGTGAATTTATTAAAGCTAATGCTGTTATGATTCGAAATATTTGTTCAAAGGCCCCATTTTTTAGAGAAGGAATTTGCTGTTGCTTTGACTGACCATATAAACCTGAGTGTGCTTGTGGATTGTTCATAACAAATCCCTGAGGTTACAGAATTCCTTAAGTGATTTAGAAGAGTGAAGATCGAGACCTCGGTCAGAAGTCTCAAGGCTGTGAGCAGTAAGTTTTAAAGATCTATTATCTATTTTCACATACAGCTGTCTGACAGTAAGAGGAACATGCTATGCTGTTAAGTCTTAAGATGACATGTTGGGACATGGCTCTGCTGATTTCTTAATTTATTCTTTAAATTATTTTCCAGCTAACTTTGCTAACTCTTAGTTATGATAGTTAATTCGGCTATCAGGTTAGTAGTATTGAATATATAATTTACACATCATTTGCTTTTCAGCTATGTACTGGGTTTGTTTTCAGGCATTTACTTAAGAAATGTAGCAGGAGTCTTACAAAACAAAGCAAAAATCATCTATGTTAATTCATTTACTGAACAGGGAAAATGTCAAGGGGTTTAACTTGCTTTTGTCATGGTAGTTTCTCTGCTTCTAAAGGTGCTGAGGAAAGAAAACACATAGTTTATGAGGATTGTCACTTTTCTAATAGCTGACCTGTTCAGAAAGATTTTGTTTCTAAAAGATTTAACAGTGCAATTCCTTGGGACTCATTATTAAGCAGATCAATAGAGATCAATAGAGCTACTGTAAAACAAGTGCAAGGGAATATACAAAGTTACATCTGCTGACAGGTATGGGAATAGAATAAAAATAGGGAAAAACCTCTTTTTGTTTGAAGCACTGGCTGTAAGGAGTTATTTAGGAAGTGAAAATTTGTGTATTTACTGACATTTTAAATATATATTTCTTCACTGTCCACAGTGTCTATTTTCACTGAGACCCCACTTCTCTTCTTAAAAATAAATAGTAATTATTAAAAAAAAAAAGCAAAATGTTTGAGACATCCATTTCATACCAAAGCTAGCTATTCAAGACAATCCAGCAGTATCTCTCATTACTGATTTGCTCATTAAATCTTGCCTTCTTCATATATAAAGATACAGGTATTTGATAAACAGTTGAATAGGGTGGTGATCTTGGACAGAAAGCAATACAGAAATTCTGAACTGTAAAGTGATTCAAATAGAGCAAGTGATTTGAAAGTGAACTTGGGAAGGAATTCTCATTTTGTGTGTTTGCAGTGTGGAAAGAGCACTGATATTTGTCTGTGGTCAGGCTTCTGAGTGTTGTGGATGTGCCTTTTGATTTGCTCTTTGTTTAAGTATGATAACTGCTCAGGAATGTAGCAGGTATGTATGAAAAACAGGGATCTTGGATGTTGGTTATTCCATGCTACCCTGCTGCCTGTCTTTCCCTCAGCTCCCTCAGGCTTTCTCCAGCCCAGGGCTTGTCAGGGGCTCTCAGATGGAGATCTGGGTTTCTGTGAGCTGGGCCAAACCCAGAGCTTTGCACCTCCCTGAGGGCAGTCGCCCTCCATCCCTGTGCTGCTCCTGCTCCCTCTGCTCAGCTGGGCCAGCACAGAAAAGAGGAATATTGAGGAATATTGAGGTGAGCTGATCCAAATGGGTCCTGAGTCAGCAAGGAGGGGCAAAAGATGAAGCTGAGACCAAGGAGTGTCTGAGG